TATATATATATATATATATATATATATATATATATATATATATATATAGAACTATCATATATATTTTAAGTTAATAGTGCCCCAGTAATTTAAATCTCAAAATCTCAAATTCTGATTCCGCCTTATTACTTTGAACTTCAATATACTCAAAACTATTATCCATGAAAACATGTCCAAGATAGTCAGTAATCCAGATATAAAAAATTTCCAGCTGGCAATATATATTTCTTTCGTTTTATAAAGAATAATCTAGTTTGACTTGACACGAAATTTAAAAAAAATAAAGAAGTCTTTTGAATTTTGTGGTTCTAAATTAAAGTTATGTCAAATGTATAAAAGTGTCATTTGGTCTTGTGATCTTAAACACGTTACATGAAAAACTGACATTAAAATGTTACCAAAAAATAAAAAGATTATTTTTTAGACAGACTAAAAAAAAGTCATTTTTTTTAAACGAAGAAAATATTATTTATATTTGGAGAAAACCATCTTCAAATCTCTCTTCTAATAATTAACCTCACATTGGTTATCCAAATCTCTTCCTTCAATTTCTAGACATGCTATGATATCAGATTTTAATTTGTAATATCTCAAAAAAAAAAAAAGAAGTTATGATAACTCCTTGATGTTCATGTATGAATAACAGATCACCCCCACTATATATGTAGATTACATGCATGTGAAAGTATCAATGTTGTCTTGAAGAATAGTATACTAATGTACAAGTATACCATATAATATACTATATATATATTGTGAAATAGCTAGCACTCCTTTTATTTCAATTTACTTTGAAATATTTTACGTTTTGATCCGTTCTATAGACTATTAAAAATAGTTTAAACTTTTATTTAATTTATAATTGAATAATTTATAATCATAATTGCCTAAGGCTAATTGAGATAACATCCTTTTAAAAGAAAATTCTTTATTTTTATCTGTTATTAGACTTTATATTATATGCATCCTTAGTGTAAATAAGAAGTTCACATGATCATCACGTCATTTAAAGGATATTTATTCTTTAACATACGAGATTAGTGATTTTGGAATGTAAGACATTATCTTCTACCTATAACAGGCGATGACTTGCGTAATAAATTTTTCATACATTGGCAATGCATATAATTCAAACTCTATTTATTAAACTTCATGCTCAATCAAATAATGTCCTTGCACAGTGCGAAGCCACCATATAATCAGAAGTTCATCTAACTTCCTTTTGGTGAAAAATTCTAACATTTATATATAATTAAAATAATATGTTATGTATATATATTATATTTCGAATTTTCTTCAACTAGTTCATGTCTATTTTTTTGAATTTTATAATTCTTTAGTGAAAATACTAATTCCACTCCGAATCATATGTAAAATTGAAAATGCAATATATGTCAATGATCACTCTTTGATCCTCCAATCTTCCTCAAAAATCGTTGTCCCGTTTGTAGAAAACCTAGACACAAAAATTACTTCAAGTTGACAATTTTCTGACCTGTGTTGTATTATTTACAAAAAATAACAAACTTGTGTACTTTTTACGTATGTCGGCCCTCTTGTTTTCGAGACATTGATAATATTCACAACCATAAAATATTTTAATAAATTAAAAAAACATAAATCCCTTTTCCCCACTAGTTAATTAAGTTGTACGAGGTCAAATCTAGCCACACCATCAATAAAAACTCCATAGAACCATCAATAATTTTCACTTAATTCTTCCATTTTTTCACTATGGAGAAAAAAACATTACTTCTAATCATATTTTTCACTTCGATGATAAATTATACACTTTCAAAAAAAATCGCAACGAAAAATAAACTTATTTGTGAAAATTGTGGCAAAATCCCCGTGCCTTATCCATTAAGCACGGCGCCTAATTGTGGCGATCCATTATACAAAGTAAGTTGCAATGCAGGTACACTATGGTTCGATGCGATGAAAAATTCATCTTACGTTATTTCATCTGTTACCCCACAAATTCAACGATTAGTCATTAAACCACCTACCCCATACCCTAACACATGTCTATCGTCTGATTTTCGCTCCGAGGGGATCCAACTTGACCCGAATCTACCATTCAACATCACGGCTAGCAACGTAATATTGTTGTTAAATTGCACGGACTATATGTTGCACTTGCAAGTACCGATAAATTGTTCATCGAGTTGTGTGTGTCATCCTTATGTTGAAAAAAATTTAGAGTGGGGTGCTTGTAGGAAACAAAGTTTGTGTTGTACATTTAGGACAGGAGGGTCACAAAATGAGTATATGATTAGGGTTCATTCACAAGGGTGTATGGCATATCAAAGTTTTGTTGGATTGGATAGTTCATTGCCAATTGAAAAATGGCCACAACCTGGGCTTGAATTAATGTGGCAAATTCCAGATCCACCTATTTGTAAAAAACAAGTGGATTGTGATGCATTGAAATATTCTAGGTGTTTGGTTGATCCGAAAGATGTTAGAAAGAAGAGGTGTTTTTGCAAGTCTGGACACTATTGGGATGCACAAGGATATTGTCAAAGTAAGTATAATTCATCTCATATATACTTGATATTCTCTATTTTATCTGAATGTGTTTGAATGAATACGAAATTTTGAAGTATAAAATACTATATACTTATGAAACTTCTTATTTTTAGTATATGTACATTCATACTAGTGCATGTAATAGTTCTGGTTGGCTGGTTCAATTGTTAAGATATTGTCCGACTTATTCTAACTCAAAAGACAATTCATTTTTATAAGGTTCCTTTCTTCTTTTTATTTCAATGTGAAATTCGTTTAAGGTGTAATATCTATTTCTTCCTTCTTGAGAGAATTACCTTCGGTATCCACCATGGGCGTCACAATTTAGTTATGATATTGTGTTACTACGGACAAAATGAGAAGTTTAAAGTGAAATTATTTATAAGCATAAGAAGGTGTTACCCTTTGAAAGTTCAAGCTAGGTATACATTGTTAATGTAATATTTTGCACTTAATTTAAGTTAGTTAAAGTAGACTAAAGTGGAAATAATGTAGTGTCATGTAAAATAGTACTCCACTTAATTTGTTTTCTAGGAGTTCCATCATTTTATAGAACACACTTGAACGTGGGGCCTTGTCATGTTAGCTATTAGCTACTACTATGATCATTTTAGGTGATATTAATTAAATTAAATATTTTTAATCACGTAACTTCTTTATATATACTCCTTTTTTTAAAGATAAGATAAAAAAAATAAAAAAGGAAAAAGTTCAGAAGGCAAATACTTAGGCCAAAAATAATAATATGTTTTAGCATTACAAAAATTAAAGTTGGGGGATCCGATGGGCATAGAACATGGAATTTGTTTCTTGATATACTAAGATTAGATTGTGTTGATGATTTCGACGTATAATCCTATTTATTTATTTTAATCTAGACACACTAATATATATTAAACTTAAAAAAATATTTGATGTTTACCCGATAAATAATTCTAAATACATTTTTTTCAATGTAAAATGTATATTTTTATATATCGTAATTTACGTGACATAATTTAATTAAATAAAAAATATTATGCCATTCGAAAATTAGGTAGATTAAAAATAATATGTCACATAAATTGTAACGCAGTTAATATATTTTGATCTCTATTTTGAGCATTCTAGACTAGACTTAAAATTAGTGTTGTAATTAGTTATAGCTTCATATATTAATTCTGGACAATAGATTAATTAATTATATAATACTCGAAGCAAAACAAATTTCTCAAATGGACCACATATATATTTTTGGATTTCAAAAAGAAAGGAATTAAATAATTAGTTGTTCATTTAATTTCTAAAGAAAAATTATGTTATAAAATTCATTGGCTATTGTTTAGGGATTTTGTAGTAGATTTTGTGTCCTTGCTTCCTGCCCAATCAAATTTACACTACATGGCTGCTGCCTAGTGAAGATTTATGAATAATAATAACATTTAATGATAAATGAAATAATCATTTTACTATATTATTTATAGTTAATTATTATTAATATTAATCATATAATATAAATTATATAAATATTGGAAAATGATAGTAGTATTTATTAATAAAAAGAATATGTATTAAACGTAAGCATATTTACAGTTGACTTATAAACAGTTTAAGAAATTACAAATTATATAGATAAAAAAATTTAGAAGAAATTTATAAGTTAATTTAACTAATTTTTATTTCTTAATTTGCGCAGAATGTCGACATGGCACAGCTTGCAAAATTCGAAGGAACAAAGCGCCTCTTATCGCAGGTTCTATTTTTAAAAAATATTTTTTTATTTTCTTATTTTTATCATCAGAATATAATGATAAAATATTTTTATTAGATACATTATATTTAAATTTTGAAAAATTCTTGTGTGTTCTCAAATAGTTCCTTCGTCCTATTTTATATGTCACCTTTTGAATTTCAAGAGTCAAACAAATTTATTTTTTACCGTAATTTTTTATAGATCTTATAAACATTTTGAATTATCAATTATTGTGATTCATAATACTTTTTACGTAAAATATATAAATTTCATTTCAAAAATATAATAATTGAAGATTCCATGCACAAATTTTCGGTCCAACTTAAATTGTTTGACTCTCAAAACATAAAATGTGTCATAAAAATTGAGACAGAGGAAGTATCTATTAGGATAACATAAAATATGTTATCTACTTTTAATCATATGCATAAGGAGGTTCTATAGCTTATAGAGGCTAATTCGCGTATAATTAAAAGAGATAACATATTTTAAGTGATTAACTTATTTACTCGATGAATAATCGAGAATCGAGAACACGAGCAAAAGTTTTTTTCAAAATTTGAATTGACAATATCTATTTAAGAATATTTTATCATGTGTTCAGACGTTTGACGTGAATCGAAATAAGCTATAGTTGAGTGTATTATATAATTAGTGCTAACGTGTTGTATTTATTTATTTATTTTGTTTTCTTTTTCAGTTGCTGTTATATCAGTGGTTCTCATGGTCTTAGGTGGATTTTTAGTCTACAGACGTTATCTAATAAAAAGAAGAACAATAAGGTTACTTGTCAAAGAAAGAGAAGAAATATTAAGTGCAAATACAAGTGGAAAATCAGCTAAAGTTTTTGCTGGCAAAGAAATTAAAAAATCAACAAATAATTTTGCCAAAGAAAACCTTTTAGGCACTGGTGGATTTGGTGAAGTATTTAAAGGTATTTTAGATGATGGTACTATAGTTGCAGTTAAAAGAGCAAAACCCGGTAACGCTAAGGGCACGTTACAAGTCCTTAATGAAGTTCGAATCTTGTGCCAAGTGAACCATCGTGGTCTAGTAAAATTACTCGGCTGTTGTGTCGAGCTCGAATTACCTCTTTTAATTTACGAGTACGTACCTAACGGTACGCTTTTCGAGCACCTCCACGTGTTCCGTCTCCGCGGGCAGGCCCCACTTAGTTGGTTGAGGCGTCTCGTGATCGCTCAACAAACCGCGGATGGGCTCGCGTACCTACACTCATCGGCCGTTCCGCCGATTTATCATCGCGATGTCAAGTCGAGTAATATTTTACTAGACGATAAGCTCGATGCTAAGGTTTCGGACTTTGGACTATCGAGATTAGTCGAGCTGAGTGAAAGTGACAATACTCATATCAACACATCCGCTCAAGGTACATTGGGGTATCTCGATCCTGAATACTATCTGAACCTTCAACTGACAGATAGGAGTGACGTTTATAGTTTTGGAGTTGTGCTTCTAGAACTTTTGACGTCTAAAAAGGCGATTGATTTTAATCGAGACGAGGAAAATGTGAACTTGGTTGTGTATATGAAGAGGATCATGGATGGAGAAAAATTGATGGATGTAATTGACCCTTTCATTAAAGATGGGGCAAGTAAAGTGGAACTTGAGACAATTAAGGCTGTAGGAAACTTAGCATCAGCTTGTTTAGATGATAGGAGGCAAAATAGGCCATCGATGAAAGAAGTATCTGATGAACTGGAGTATGTTATTGGTATTGTTAGTGGCCAGGCTTCAAAAAGTTAGATGGATTATTGTAATTTTTGGTTTAGTTAATAGAATATGATGTCATCTTTGATTTTGTTACAAGCTAACTAATTTTGTTTTTTTACATATTCACAACATGAATCTTTTTCTTCTAACATTATATATTTGTATTGATCTAAATTTGAAATTGTCTCGATTTTAATGAACATTCAAAGGGTGTTGTCTAGGGATTAATCAACGGTGTGGAATATGATTCATGAGTTTTCAAGTTTGAAGTCCAATAGAGACAAGAATACTAGGAGATTATTCCTTCTCATCTGTCTGAATCTTGGTGGATAGATATATCAAGTAATTGTGTTAGTGGGAGATAACAAATACCAAATAACACTAATCGTGATGTGTGCAAGTTGATCCTAACACCTCGATTATAAAAAAAAAATCACAGTTTAAGTTACCCACAGCAGGTTGTGATAATAAAGACTTTAAACAGATGAGTTATTATTTGTTAAAATGAAATAAGAGAAGAGAAAATAACTTGAAATAAAAAAATAATTTATAATGGCCCATGCAGGTCTCGAACCTGCGACCTTCGCGTTATTAGCACGACGCTCTAACCAACTGAGCTAATGGGCCAATACATTCATGGATCCATTGATTACTAATATATATGTAACTTTTGTTACTTAATAAAGAAAAAAAACCCACACCTGTTTTTTGATGTAACAACTATACTCTTAGGACTGAAATCAACACAGATAATGCCTGTAGTGAAAGCATTTGCATCAACTTGTCAAATTTATTCAAAGCTAGAACATAATTTTTTAAAAAAACACGTTTTTCCTGTTTGTTTCATCAATGAGAATGAAGCAATGTAGAATTTTATTTACTTTCTTGATATTTTGAACCCGTTAGTGAAAATCTTGACTCCATACCAAGTCCACTTCTATCAAATACTGCTGCAGTACTACTACAAAAAATTAAAAAAAAAAAACAACAAAAATAAGAGTTTTACAACCAAATGCGCGAAAACATCAGGAGAGTACTAAATTAAACACAGCTTTGTCAAGGAAATCTTTATGATGTAGCTATAACAAGGTAACCTTTCACTCCTGAAGCAGGGAAGATAGATACGTAGCTGAAAGTAAGCAAGAGATTTTAACACAAGACGAGGCCGTTTCATCAGAATTTACTACAAATACGAATAAATACATAAATTAAGAAAAATGTGCAACAATATATTAGTAACTGCACAGTAGCCTGAGAAAGGATTAGAAGTTCAATGGTATCGAAGTAAGCAATCTTCATCCCTAAGTGTAGTAAGTCGAGCAGAAACTGATACACGCGTATTCTGATAAACGTAGAGATGCATGATGATTGATTTATGGGTGAATGAAGCGCGTCCGTGTCCACCACTGAATCTCTTCTGTTTTTTTCTTATGAGTCGCGGAGACGAGCCTTGATTGGAGATGCATGTCTACATCATTGTCTGCTATCGTTGTGATTTAGGCCCTCGACGAAGTTCAGATCTAGACTTAGCTACTTCTACAAAAATTACCCTGCCATCCAGAAACTGAGAAGGGCAGTTTGTTAGAACTATACTCAACAAACAAGAATTCCATGAAGTGACAATGATAGTTAGGGATAGTTAGGATGTAGCATTTTGCAAATGGGGATAGAAGAGTGTAAATAAGATGCATTTGTTATTATGTCATTACGAGGCATTCATATTTTATGTATGCAGATGGACGAGATGAATTTGAGAACGGAAGTTGAGGTTGCACATACAAGAAGCAGAAGGTAACTTCACACTTAACCCGGATTAAGTTAGCACTCACAAATCACAAGCCCATAAATTTGGCATACTGACTGAAATATGATCAGTACAGTTGGCTAGTACAGACTACAGAGTTTATCCAAACCCCAAAAGATGACATTTTCTTCCAGTAATAATCGAAACTTAAGTCTGCTTCCCTTTGCAGGTGTATGAAGAAGTTAGTTTTATTAAAATACAACCAATCATCATGCAAATCATGCTATTTATTGAAAATTATTTGCACCATGTCACACAAAAATGACTTGCTTCACTGATGACCATAGCTGATCTTCCACACACAAGCATTTCTATGCCTCAATCCCAAACAAATAGGGGTCGACTATATCAATAATTTAGTGTCGTCTCCTCAAGAAATGCTCATTTGCAAGAAAAAGTGTGTTTAGAGCCCTAATGATGATACTAAAGCACACTTAAGAGGCGAAACACTTAACATATTTTGATGCTCGCTTCAGGGCTTAAAAGTGTGCCTTTAACAACACTGAATAAAACGTTTAGTTTGTCTTATGTGAGTCTTTCATTCAGGTCCTCTTTATTTGGCATCCCATGTTCGTTTAATGAAAGGCTCATTTCATTACTTTTGAAAACGTTTTCATGTGATATGTCATATGCCAATATATTTTCAGTACACAATATCATCAAGAATGAAGGATATGTTCGAATTAGATTCTATTTCGGCAAAAGAATCAATGGTGGTTTAAGACTTACTAATTACCTTGCCATGCATTCCCTCAATTGCCTTCTGTGATTCCTCCTCCGTAGCATAACGAATGAAAGCAAATCCTCTTGGTCTGTTCGCTATTTTGTCCATCATCAAATTGACTGCAAAATCGAAGATACATACATGTTTTTTAGAAATTCATAACAAATTAATCATCCATAAGATAGCTGCAAGTTTTACTCAACTGCGTGAGTGCAACAACAACATTGCCATATGAGTGCCCTTTTTTGGCTAATACTCGTTCAGTTACGGTATAAGGTACAACAAAATACCACAGTGTACAAACAAAATACCACAGGGTACAAACAAAATTTGCCATATAACGAGTCATGAGTGGTAAATATGTATGAATGAATTTGAAGTTTGAAGTTTGAAATTTGAGGTTTTGATCAAGTTGTGTTTTGACATACATTTTATTCTGAATCAGTATCTGAAAACATGAACATATTCAAAGATATATCAAATTTCATGATAAAACATACATTTGAAAATAAATTTTCAAAAACTACTCCCAAAATTTATGGTCAAACGCAGGATAAGATGAACTGAATTTTTTCATTTTTAACCTTCAACGAGCTCTCCGAAATGGTTGAAGGTTTTTCTTAAGCTTTCTTCAGTTGTGCGAAACGAGAGTCCTACAAAATGAAATTAGTTTCAACAAAAAGTAGAAAATAGCAAAAATAGTACTAATGAAAAATCAAAAGAAACTGACCGCTAACAAAGAGCTTAGTTGAGGAATTGAAATTGATCGGAGTCGCTGAGGAAGAAGACTGAGCATAACAAGCTGATACAATTTGGGGATAACGAATACTTATTAGTGAGTGTGAAGAAAGAAGATGCTTCGATTCTTTTCTAATGGAAAATGAAGACAATGGTAGATGTGACTTTGCATACAGAGTAGCGCCGGAGTACGCTGCCGCCATTACTATGCCCGCCATTTTTCTTCAATTGTTACCGGAATAATGGAACTGGATAATGGATCGTGCCCTTGTGTGTCCAGATTCTCGAGCTGTTGCCGGTTCGGGTTCGGGTCAGGCCACAGAAGAGTGACGGGTCAAATTTTGACCCGTTTGGCCATAGAGGAAAAACTATCTTATTTATACATACATCCATATATATCGTAATTATCTTTACTTTTAAATAATTACTTAATTAATTAAGAATTTTTATGTGTGGTATTCAATCCAATAACTTTCATCTTGACTAATTTCATCAAATACCTATCACCGCTTACCAAAATAAGTGATACCTCTGTCCATCAATTAAAAAAATGTTTTTCTCATTCATTTTTATTTGTTCATTAAGAACTTTACAAGTTTTTTAAGAAATAATAATTAATATAAATATATTATCGCAATATTCATATTTAATTAATATAATATTAAGTCTTGTTAATAATTTGGAGAATGATTAATTAATATTAAAATCAGTTTTTAAATAATGTCGTCATTTTTAGATATTAAAAAGGAAAAATTGTATAAACGAAATATTAATTCAAAATAAATGTTATTTCACTTTTTTATTAATTCTAATTTGTATTTGTCATTCGCCTCTCTCCTAAAAATCTATATCGCCGCTCTCCCTCGCCTCTCTCATTTTATGCAAACACAATGTATAAATTGTGTACGTATAAAATTGAAAAAATTGTATATACAAATACATATCTCTTTTAACTATATACTTATAATTATACAATACAAATTTTTCTTTCCTCAGTTCTCTTTTGTTTTTTTTCTCTTTCTCACTTTATACAAAATACAATGATAAGCGTGAGAGAGATCTGATATAAAAATATTTTAATTCGATTCAATTATATACAAATTAAAATTTTATGCAGATATATGAACACAATCATTGATGCATATATATAATAGTTATATATATATATACAATTATCTAACCGATATACATATATAATCGATGCACTTTTTATACAAATGAATTGCTTGTCTGTGATTTATGTACAAAGAAAAAATTACGCGTATAAGCAAATATATACTAGTTAATTACTTAATATAGCTATAGTTTGTCTTAATTACAATTCGCGACTTACTTTTAGTTATAATTACACAACTCAACTTTTTACTTTTGTAGTAATTTGCGCATTAGTATAATTTGGAATTCCTATAATATAATTTGTATAACTTTTGTGTAATTCGAAATTTGTATAACTATTTATACTTTTGATGTTTGTAAGTATATAAATTCGTTATTTCCAGTTTATACGGAAATAATTGCATTATACAAGTACACCCATGAATTATACAATTCGCAAATTATATAGATTCGCAAATTGTACAACTGAGATAATTTAAACTATAGCTACAACACATAAATATGCAAATTATAGTCATGAAGCATAATTAAATTTATTATAATAGCTATTTATAAAACAAAAATTCATAAAAGTATATTTGCTATGAAATGCAAATAAAAACTATATCTCTAATACACTAAGATAAATTATATTTTTGCTAAAACTTAAAAGTTACTCTATTAATAAAGCACTCAAAATAATGTTCTCATTCATCTATTGGTTCCAAAATAACATTCTCATCCACCTTTCGATTCAAATTAACCATTTATTTAACGATTTTAAATTTAAACTATTTAAATATTATCTTAATACACGGAGCTCAACTATTTTTTATAATTTAACTTATTAATAGAATTTATTAATCAATCTACTACCCATCTATTACTAATTAAACCACACACAATTAATAAATCTGTCACATTACTAATGCACAACAGAAAAGCTACTATCAATGAGTCTTGCTAAAAATTTGAGACGAAAAGGTCTATAGAAGTACATTATCATATATTCAAGTCTTCAATCAAAACATATTATAATTCAAGTATCTAAATAAAAATTTCCGATAAACATAAAAGTCTAACTATGTTCATCTTAACTATCCATTCGCCTCAATTATGTGATATTACTTAATAGAAACCTTTTTTTTAAAAAAAATATATTGAAGTTTTAATATTTAAAATAAAAAATAAATATTTATAAAATTATAATTAAAAAGGGCATGAATTAATTCGAGAGGTGCTACTTCTTTTTTTTTATCTTTAATCATAAATTTCGAATTTAAGTTTGAAACAAAATCCTATAGAAAGTGTCCTCCTAAATAAGCGGTTCAATCTAAATTTAATTGGGGTTTCAATTCGGACTCAAATTGATTTTGAATGTTATTTTAAGGAATCGATAATTTCATCGTGCTTTAGTAGTGTTTAAGGCAATTTTAATATTAGAAATGTTTTATTAATTAGGTGAGGCTTCATTATTAATGGGTGGGTAGTGAATTGGTTTATAAATAATATTAATAAATTAAATTATATTCAATAGTTGAGAGCCAAATATTTTAAAAAATATTTAAATAGTTTAAATTTGAAACATTTAAATAATCGATCTATTTTAAATATAAATATAAATGACAAGAATATATTGAAGTCAATGGATGGGTGAAAAAAATATTTTAGATACAGGTTGATAAAATTTTGTACTATTTTCATTCGGAGGATATTTTAGGCTTTCTGTTTTTTAAAATTGCAAACAAAAGGTTTACGAAAAAAAAATACAAACAGAAAAGATGCCGTGATTCCGCTATAAAAAGCACATAAAATATAGTGAAGGGGAAAAGGTCATCTCTGTCACCTTTTCAGTCTCCGATCAGCCCATTGTCTTCTCCGTCGCCATTTTTACGGTAAGCAATAAATATTCTTAATTAAAGTTTCGTGTTCAAGTATTTTTGAATGAAGTGGTCTCGCTTTTACTCGAGTGCAACTTTTCGATACGAATTTAGATTAGTCAGAGTTTAAGGCATAAAGTCAAATTAATCGAGCTCTAAAGCGAATAATAATCACCGGGCCCGAGATATGAAACCCTAGTGTCTAATGATTAATTCTAGCTTCATTAACTACTTGGCTACACCAATTTGTGACTGAAATAACGATTTAAACCTTATAGTTTTGCTAATTGTTTATATTATTTGCTTCCTACTAGCTGAAGCAACAATAGGTTTTATGTTGCTATTCCTTATGTTTAAACAATGTATCTGCTGAAACTTTTAGTTCATACTGCAGCAATAGACACAATTGAACCTAAAATTAAGTAGGCAATTTTCTAGAAAACACAACAATGAATTTTTTTTGGTACCAAGCAATCAAGTATGCTTCAATTGGCTTTATGAGTCCTTAGTATCTATATCACTCATCAATTTTTCGATGGCTTGTCATAGTTTGATTATTTTACTATCTGTTGTTTTTATCATCTCTTGTACTTTTGGAAACAACCGCTTTACCTCCACGAGGTAGAGGTAAGGTTTGCATATATTCTACCATACCAGACCTTACTTGTGGCCGTGTGGGATTTTAAAGAGTATGTTGTTTTGTCTCTTGTATTTTCAATGAGTCTTTTTCTAGATTGTTTTTGTCTTGGGCTGTGGGTCTGTCGGAAAGAGCCTCTCTACTCACCTTTGAGGTGTGCGTACATTCTACCTTCCCTAGACTCCATTTTGTGGGACTAAACTGGGTACGTTGATGTTGTTGCCTCTCCTTTATCTGGGTACGTTGATGTTGTTGCCTCTCCTTTATCTGGCTTTGGAGTCAATTGCCACCCCAATTCTAGAAAAAAGGGTTAACAGTCACATGGTTGAGTATTTTAGTTAGGTTGTAATAGGAAGCTTGTCATTGCGAATCTGAATGGGAAGTTAAACAGAGAGAAAGATGCACTAGAGCTATGTGCTTGGGGATAAAGTGCCAAAAACTGCACAGTGATGGATAAAGTTTGGAGCTTTATCTATGAGTCTGTCATAGTAGATATCAACATTAGATTTGGATAACAGATCAAGCAACTTAGCTTTAGTCTTATTGTGTGAAGCAACAATTTAATCAGATATATGAAATTGATCACCCAAAGCACACTCATACTCTAAATGACTTAGTTTTATTAGTTGTATAGGAATAACCACATATTTTGGACTACTTCCGTAGTTTGCCAAACGTATTTTACATATGCACTTCATTTTTCTCAGACGTATCCATGAGAATGGGTTACCCCTTGGGGTGCTCCTTCCCTAGACTCTGTTAACTCGGGATGCTTGTGTATTGGGTTGCTTTTTTTTGCTACTTTGTAAGAGTCCTTAAACATACAGTTACAGAACTTAATAAAAGTTAAGCATACTCGGATTGGATACATATCTGTTCCTAATCTTGTACATGAGACAATTACATAGTGACCTGCAGAACTCTGTGATTTGTTTTGATATATGCGGTTTTCCAATTGCGATACTGCTTCATTGCCACTTTCTGAAGCTGCAATTCTCCTCTTAGTTGACATGGTAGATACTTTTTTCTACTTATCTTCTTACACTTTGTCAAGTTCCATTAACGTTTCTCTGAAAGCCATAACCCAACTTTTACCCATGTTCTTGCGCTAGACCAAGGAATGTTACTGTCATATTTTTAATCTTTTCTATCCTTTGATTGAAGGTCCTCACAATATGTAGAACTTTTTCATCTCACACCTCCTTAGTCCTTTGATTAAAATTCGACATGATGCAAATGGTTATATTTCTTGATGTTTTGTTTTTCTGGGGCAGGCAGCCTATTGGTTTTCATCATGAAGGCGCTCATCCTTGTAGGAGGTTTTGGAACAAGGCTGAGGCCACTGACCCTCAGCGTGCCAAAGCCGCTAGTTGACTTTGCTAATAAGCCCATGATACTTCATCAGGTTTCATTCTATCATTCCTGTTTGTTTATGATGGATCATAAATTCCTACATCCTCTGTTATTTTTTCATTATGTAATACTTCTATTCTATAGCCTCATTCCTCGTCATTGGGACTAATATAAACCCCATTTTTCCTACTAAACTCAAAATGTTATATTAACCATGAACCATTTGATCTTGTTAGCATTTTGAATCAAATCATTCAGTTATTTTCTCGCTTCTTCTATTCTTCGAGTGGCATACATTGATTCCCTTGTTAGTTGAGTTAGTATGTTACCATGATCAGATACTTCTCTTGTATCTTGCGCCTTCTACTTGAGAATCAAAGTAGCGCATATCCGTAAT